AACTCGGAACTCGGAACTCGGAACTCGGAATTAAGGTAAATACTATCACAATTATTAAGGTTTTCGAGTTCTTTTTTAAAATTTTAGATTGCATAGTGTCACCTAAACATGTTACAATGTTGACTTATAAAGAAATATTTCAAATTATACAGCAATTTTGAGTAATAACCGTAAGTAGTCAAACTCAGAAGTCGGAACTCGGAAGTGGCCCTCCTCGGCCATCGTATATTTAACTAATTACTTGGAATGCATTGAAGGTCAAGTAGCCGGTTGTTAATCTCGCTTACATCTTTAAAAACTAACTTGCCGTATTTCCTGCATAAGATAAGTGGTTAGAACAAGATATCAACTGTTAGTTGACTAATGTGAACCAGCCTATGTTGAATTGGACTACACTGTCTATTTTGTTTATAAATATTTAAAAAACTTCATGAATTCATGAATAATTAATGACCTTAGAACAATACAAAATCACTACCGTCTTCCTGATTTGCATAGAGGGAAGGAAAAACTCGAGTTACGATTTTCGAGTTACGACTTTCCAGTTACACATTTTTCGAGTTACGCGCTCGGACACACCCATATTTTGGGGCCACGCACACTTTGACATCTGTGCGTAGCTCGATGACAAACAGCGTTGAAATCAAACTCGAGTTATGTAACTCGAACCCAACAGATTGAACCTAATTTTTCGAGTTACGTGCTATTTCCGCAACTCGATTCTAAAAGTGGACCAATATTTTTTCGAATTAAACTTTTATTTTTTTCGTGTTATTTTTTAGACTGATTTCATGAGTCGAGGTGGTTGTCTCGCTCAACTATTCATTTATATTTTTTATTCGAATTTCTTCATTTTATATTGTCTATATTTACTTGCATTTAATACGTTCTTTCCGTATATATCATACAGATATATATTACTCGAATATCATTATATATTTTCTCTTTTTCTCTTTCTCGACATAGCTCGAATGATAGCTACCGCAATACATAACAGTAAAGATAAAAAGGTAAATTATACACCGTGAAAAGATGAAAAAACTTACTGACGTTTCGGACGCTAGTACTTCGTCGGAGTAAAAGAGAGCAAAATAAAAGCCGTTGCAATATAAAACCATAAAACTATAAAACAGTCCGGTCATTTCTAGCAAGAGAATATGAACTAGCTCATTTTCTCTTGTTTCTAGTCAATAAACAGTACAATCGTCACTGCCTACCCGTATCATTTTTTAGCCCGCCCGCAAGGGAATTTTTTATTTGATTTGATGTGTTARTCTTAATTTTAATTCCGTTAATTTATTGAGAGGTAAATTCTTATTCTCTTTCAAATTAACTCGAAAAAATATTTGTTCACTTTTAGAATCGAGTTACGGAAATAGCGCGTAACTCGAAAAATAAGGTTCAATCTGTTGGGTTCGAGTTACTCAACTCGAGTGTGATTTCAACACTGTTTGTCATCGGGCTACGCACAGATGTCAAAGTGGGCGTGGCATCCAAAACATGGGTGTGTCCGAGCGCGTAACTCGAAAAATGTGTAACTGGAAAGTCGTAACTCGAAGAATACCTTATGATCTTCCATTTGCATAAGGTTGACTTTGAAATATCTCGGCCAAATTTCATTTAATATTAAATTTTTTTACTCTAAATAAGAAGCATTAATCTAGACATTTTTTAAAGTAATATAAAATATTCGCGTGAGGACTGTATGAGGTTTAAAATAGCTCGCTTACAGCTCGCTGTTTTAAATTCTCATACAGATCTCACGCTCATATTGTATATATTACGTAAATCAATAAATAAAACGAAACTGATCTGATGATTTTTTTTTAGTATAAGAGTAAATGGTTGGAACCAATGGTGTTGAAGTTTGTTGTGAAGTGTGATCGTCCGGATAAATATTAAAATATTTTTATAGTCTTGAGAAAGATTGTTGTTGAGTCCAGCAGTGAGAAAACGAAAGTGCATAAAATACTTTTAGTGTTCGCTCGTTAAGTAGGAGTTCGGCAAGCCAATTGCTCCTTGATCAGTGATATTTATTGTTTAATAGCTCGTTCGTGCTTATAAGCAAAGGGTAATTTTCCTAAATCTCTGACTTCGTGCGTTTCCATAAAGTCGAGATGTGATCTTGTGATGGGTTTTTTGTTTTCAGCGGCTCATGTCGTTGGGTCGAGCTACAAAGCAGGTTTTTCCGTTAAACACAAGAGGAAAAGGAAATTTTGATCTCTTATTAAAAAACCATCCTAAGCAAGGTATTGAAATCAACCCACGTATTTGTAAATATAGAAATATATTTGTAAAAGATTTCAACCTCACCGTTTGGGATAAACAACGCTGCAAGAAGGAAGAGTACAGGCAGGATAACCATGGTTGAAAAGGCAGTTTAACAGAGAACGAGCTAAAAACCAGTATAACACACCCCGTTGGGCTGAACGACACTGAAATATATCAGTCATGTGACATATGTTATATCAGAATATTGAATAGTGACATTAAAAATACATTACCTAAACGCATCGGCTTTCTTCTGGTAATCGGTATTCCCATCCATTGTTATTTTTTCACCCAAATAGAAAATGTCATCAATAATTTTTTTATGGAACGACCAAGAAAAAGGTTTCAACAAATAACATTTACTTAACAAGAATGAAAATACTGGTCTAAAGTCGTAATGAAAGTGTGTGTCGTTTTCGTGCATTCGTTTGTTTAGAACAGACGATTATGCTAATCTGAACAAAGCCATAAATATATTTGATCATTTTTATCATTTTCTTTCGTAATTGTTATTTTTATCAGTCAAAATAGCTTAGTTTATTTTTAAGTTTTAGCGCGAATGTTGCGTTTTAAGCGACAATTCGTGCTTCGCTCTACAAAAACCCTACGACATTCACGGTAAATTTATCTATCTTGAGTATGACCAATCATTAAAAAAATTGCGACAAAGCGAAGCTAGATTGACAGCCACACTATTGAATATTAATAGGAGTAAAAGAGTACTAAATTAAAACCTTTGTGGTTTTTTTCTTTTCCTTCATCAAAGTATTTCACCTGCAGTATTCGGAAAATTGATTTTAATCAAAAGCAAAATTGCTGTCATTTACGAAATTAATTTTAATGATGCGAATGGTGTTTTATCAAATGAGCAAATTTTTATGGGAAAAAAAAATTTCCGCCCGTAACTCCCGTAAAATTTGTTATCGAGAAAAAATTGCTTGAAACACAATTTACATGTTTAATAACTTTCCAAGCCAAAATATCTTTKAAAATACTTGAAATTAATTTTAGTCAAACCTTGAAAGAAATTCGTCAATAATGCATCATTTGTGAATAAATTCGGTAATCAAGAGCGAGGTTTCGATATGGTACAGCCATGATAAAACTGATAAAACCTTTGTGGATTTTTYCTTTTCCTTCATCAAAGCATTTCACCTGCAGTATTTGGGAAAATTGATTTTAATCAAAACATGTCCGAAATTATTTTTAATGATGCGAATGATGTTTTATCAAATGAGCAAATTTTTATGGGAAAAAATTCTCAAAGAAATTCGTCGATAATGCATCATTTGTAATAAATTCGGTAATCAAGGGCGGGGCTTTGAGATGGTACAGCCATAATAAAACAGGTTCAGCAGGTTGAAACAAGGGAGCACGGCAGACATACATTTGTTGATTGGTCTTCCTGTGGTAGTGACGTATGCTGACGAATACGGTTATCCGCGAAAAATAGTGTGGGCTCAAGTAAATATCAAAGATGGCGGCCGATATATAATATTGACGGGGAATGCAACTTTTTCAAACTTTTCGACAATGCTACGTCAGGTTGCCAGGGCCACTTGGGTTGCCAGGGCCAGTTAATGAGCTAAATTATTGCTAATATATGCGTCCAGGTCGACTCGGTCAATGGGTATTTCACCTATTTGCTCTTTGGTTTCACGAAACTTCAACAGTTTGTTCGCCGCAAGTTCACATCTTGTTGAATTTTGAGACTTCAAAGTGAAATTGATTAGCGATCTTTCAGGCTGATAATACTGTAGCTTCAAAAACTCCTCAAATCCACAATTTCGAAAACGA